AATGAAAATATTATTAACTTTATTGCTTGGTGCTGCTGTGCAGTGTCCAAATAAAGAGCTTTTTATTGCAAGAATAAAAGAATTGGATGTGGATATTCAGCATGCAATTGTCGAACTCATTAAGCAGGTATATTATGGATAAATTAAAGATTAACTGATATTAAATAAAAAAATTATTATTAACAGGTGACTGATAATCATAGCTTGGTGCTGACAGAAGAATCTATTGATCTACTAACACCAACTGTTATGTATAATCATATACTTCGTCTAACAAAGGAGCGTGATAATATGTATATGAAATGGATATCATCTATATGTACAGAGCCAGATGTAAATATGTCCTCATGTGTGGATGGAAATGCTAGTTTACCGCTGTCACCATCAAGTAGCTTGAAATCTTCCTGTACACCATCTTCTTCCAATTCAGAAAGCAATCATTTGGCTGTTGAATTAGCTGATTTGAAATCTAAACTGCGGAAGTTGAGACAAGAATTGTATGTTTGATATATATCTTTTCTATTTTGGATATTGAAATGGATATCTTACTTAATATTTAGTAGGAGTATTAGTTGTTATTGTAACAACCCGCTGGGACCTGTAAGCAGATAAAGTTAAAGGATATACAAGACAATTACATGGTTGGGTAGTGCTTGAGGGTAATAGATGAGAAATGAGGATCGGGTGGAATTGGGTGGGTGAAATTTAATCTGGATTCTGATGGAAAAACCTGGCCACTTTAATGGGGTGGCTCTAAAGATCAATTAGACGGAGGTTTGTGTGCGTTGTAGAACAGGAGAACGGATGGGCGACGTCATGGAGAGTAGAGGTGCAGTTTAGGCACACATCAAGAAAAAACGTGTTTATGCGTGACAAGTAACTGTTTAGGACTCGGCTATATCCTGATCTCAATTGAGCTAGGACAGTTTTTGATGCACGAGAGAGATGTCGTTCTTTCATGTAGATGTTAGGTGGAGGTCTATTAAGAACCTGGTTGTCTGACAACTTCGGTCTCGAAGAGAATACTGCATCTGTAAGGAGTAGTAGTCTTTATTAAATTTACGTTATTTAAAAGAATTAAATGTACAAAATTGGGGTAGAATTGGTAGAAATTTAAGTACTCTGCCCTCAGGAAGAAATCACACTAACTTCGAAAAAAAAATCCTCCAAAATAAACCAATAAGCTTCTATAATGATTATTACCGTTAAATATCATTAATTGATACAAAAATGTTTACAAAAAGACTTTTCTGTTTATTACAGGGAAGAAAAGGCGGAGAGCCAGTTGGAATTGCGTGAAGAATTGGAACACAAAAGCGCACAATACGAAAAACTTAGATCTGAGGTAAGAACAATTTTTGAAAAACATTTTTAAATTTTTGATTATGTTTCTTATTAAACTTTTAGAGTCAGGAATGGTATGCAGAAGCTAAACGTGCAGCAGCTTATCGCGATGAAGTTGATGTGCTGCGAGAACATGCTGAGCGTGCAAATAGGCTTGAGATCGAAGTGCAAAAATTTCGTGAAAAATTAACCGATGCTGAATTTTACAAAACTCGTGTTGAAGAATTAAGAGAAGACAACCGCATGTTATTAGAAACAAAGTATATAATTAATTTAAATTTTCTTCTTTTATTATTTGATAAATAATAAATTAATGTGTGTTATTGTAGAGAAATGTTAGAAGACCAATTACAACGGTCACGTAAGCGTTCTGAACATGTTATGACGCTCGAATCTGAAATAATTAAATATAAACAAAAACTTAATGACATGGCATTGGAGCGTGATGTCGATCGTTCAAAGTTGGAAGAACTATTAGAAGAAAATACACAACTGCAATTAGTGGCCAAAAATTTGAACACAACTCAAGAAATTGATAAATCATTTTCGGACAATGAAGACGAATGTAATTCAGGCGATAACAGTTTATCTGAACAATTGACAAATAATGCACAGGTTTAATATATTTAACTTAAAATTTATAATGTATTAATCACATATTATTTTTAGACTCGTGCCTTAAAACTTGAACTTGAAAACAGACGACTTGCTGCTGCACTTGATCAGCTAAAAGAATCTTCATTCCATGAATCAACAAATAAAATATTGGAATTGGAAAAGGATAAGAAGAAGTTTTCTTTAAAACTTGATCAAATGCAGGAAAATTTGCAGCGACAAATTCAACAGAATACTGAACTTGAAAATGTTTTTAAAAATGCTTTGGAAGAGAATAAAAAATTGCAAGACACACTTGACAATCGTCAAAAATCCTATGACAAACAAAGTCAAGAACGTGAAATTGATCGTAGTAAAATGATTGATTTTGAAAAACACGTTGAAACATTAAACAAAGAGAAACAACGTATACAAACACTTAACGAAAGTATACAGCGAAGAGCAGATGACTTAGAACGTTTATTGGAAACAAAAACTAGAGAATTGGAACAGTTTTCAGAAAAAACTAGAGAATATGATAATACAAAAATAAAGATGTATGATTTGGAAAACAAATTAAGTTCGTTTGAGCGAGAAAATGTTAGCTTAACAAAAGAAGTAACAAAACTAAAAGAGAGTATTGAAGAAAAATCTGTACAACTTGACGAGACTACAGTCAAATTGGAAACACAAACGAAAGAAGTGACGCGTCTGGTAAAGGAAGTTAAAGAAGCTGAATTGACACAGATTAAAATCACAGATTTGGAAAAACAAAATCAAGATTTATTATCGCAGCGCGATATTGATTCCGAAACAATTGAGACTCTACGCAACGATTTAGTGTCCGGTACACTTGCCACAAATAAAGTAAGACACAATTTGGAAAAACTAGGACTAACTGTCGATCAAACAGATGCAAATGCTGAAATAAATGTCGAAACAGTTGTGGAAAAATTAGTACGCAATCCGGAAACTTTCAAAACAGTACGAGAAATCATGCTGAATGTGTCAAAAGAACAACAACAAAATTCAAACACTAAATCAGATATGTGTGTATTATGCCATCGTAAAGAAATCTATACAGTGGAGAAGAATATTGAACTTTCGAGCGAACCACAAGAGTTAAGTTTCGAGCATAGAATTAGAGTCAGTCCAGCAAGAGAAACTGCTGAATTAATGCGTTTATCAGAAGCAAATACGAAAATAAACGCACTAAATACAGCATTACAATGTACAAATGAACAATTGCAAGCAGATAATGCACGTTTAAGTGTTGATGTAGCTACACTAGGTTCACAGATAACTTCTTTAAGTAATCAGCATATAGCTCTGCAGTTGGCAAATTCACAATTGGCGGCTGAAAAAGATGTGCTACTAAAACAAATCGAGACTGTGAAAAAAGAACACAAGAATTTGCTACACGACCAAGTTACAATGCAAACCTTACATGATCAATTGTCTTCTGAATATGATTCACTCAACAAAGGCAAGGAACAACTTAAAAGCGTTGTGCGAGATTTACGCAATGAGTCGCGAGAGTTACGGGAACATATTGACAGTTTGGAAAAGCAAATTGAAGATCTAACCAAAGAGAATGCATCTATGAAATCGTGTTCAGAAGATTTATCTATTTTACGCACGGAACATTCAAAATTAACAGATGATTTCCGTAATCTATTTGCTACAAGCGACCGCTTTAAGAACGAATACAAAAATATACAAGTAATTTTCTAAAAAATTATATGTAAATAAATAAATGATTTAATTTTTTTTATTTTGTTTTAAAGGAGCAATACAAAATGATACGCAACGAAAATAGCAAACTTAAGTTACAAAATACAGAATTAAGTGGAGAAATAAATAGCAAGAGCGATCAAGTCAAGATGCTAGAAATCGAATACAGCAAAGCAATACAGCGTTGTGAGGTAATATAAATTTTTATTGTATTATTTTAGATTGGCCAGAAAAGTCTGTGTAGGTAAAGTTGCTCTTCAGGTCGTAAGCCTAAATTGGTCTAAATAGGACAGAATTTGTACGAGGGTCACTCATAACTGTGATTTGTAAATTAGGTATTCGAAAAAATGGAATTAATGCAAGAATATTTTCGTGCGATGATTTATTACGACTTTTGAAATGGATTATTAAGACAAGAGACCATCGATGAACTTACTTCCTCATTTGGCGATGAAGCTCCATCCTCTATCCAAATTTCCACCCGTTACCTATCCACCCCCTAAGCCCTGCATACATGTAATACCTTTCATCTTATATACTTGATTACATCCTCGCGCGCCCCGAGGATTATATTGGTCATTTTATAAAAGCGATCCGAAGGCTACACTTAGAATTATTGGCCTACTATGTTAACATATAAAATTTGAACGGCTTAAAATACTTCGTTTTAATAAATTTTAAGATGCCCTTAAGAAACAATCGTATAGGACAATAACAACAACAAAAGCTTTTACATTAAATTTTTCGTTATACCAAGATTGCTAAATCTTTCGTTATAGCAAGCTTTAAGGTCTGATTTAGTTTCTTAAGTAAATAATATTAAGGATTTTTTTCTTTCTTTTGGGCTTGAATTTACATCCAATGTTTTTTAATATTTTAAGAATTATTTTTTATTTATTTTTATGCACAAATATGAGATAATAATAATTATATAAATAACAGTTTATACTGTATATATATATTATTATATTTATATATATATTATTATATTTATATATATATTATTATATTTATATATATATTATTATATTTATATATATATTATTATATTTATACTGTATATATATATTATTATATTTATACTGTATATATATATTATTATATTTATACTGTATATATATATTATTATATTTATACTGTATATATTTACTAATTTACTGTATATATATATTATTATATAATAATTATTATTATTTTATTATATACTAGTATATATTAATATTTACTATATTAATATTATTAATAATATATATATTATATATTTATACTGTATATATATATTATTATATTTATACTGTATATATATATTATTATATTTATTTACTGTTTATTATATATTATTATATTTATACTGTATATATATATTATTATATTTATACTGTATATATATATTATTATATTTATATTGTATATATATATTATTATATTTATACTGTACATATATATTATTTATACGATAGACGGCTAAAATGCCATAGCTGCAAGCTCTTTATATATATAATATAATTGTTATAAATTTCCATGTAACAAATTTAAAATGAAGTATAATATAATATATATTATTTATACTGTTAAGGTAAATAATAGTATAATAAAGTGATTTATATATTATTATATTTTTAGATGTTGCTGCAAATGAATTCTGATCTTGATACTGATCGAAAAACACTTATGGACAATGTGTCACAACTGCTATCCCAATATCACGAATTGTTGTCACATTCATTAGAAGATAAGCAACATTTTCATGAAGAAGAAAAAAGTTACACCGAACGTGTTCATAATTTAAGCCGTCAGAAAGAAAAATTGGAGGAAAAAATAATGGAACATTATAAAAAATCTGAAAGCACAGTACCTAAGAAGTATGTAATTAACATTAAATTATAATCATTAAATTAAACATTATTAAATTAAACATTAAATTATAATTACACTATACACTATATTTATATATTTTTTATAATTATTGCAGAAAACCATTTGCCAGTAGTTTAGTACGACGTGTAAAGAAAGCAAGTTCTGATCTAATGAATAAAGTGCCCAGCAGGGTTAGTAAAATTTAATAAATATTTTTTAACATAATTTCGTTTTCAAATAATCAATTTTTAATTTAGAATCGACGTTCTTGGGTGGATGATTCACGTCTTACTCAATCCCAATTTATAATAGGCTCTGAATCTGGTGGAAATGATTCCGATAACAGCACTGAAGAGCCTATGTCTATCGTATCTGATACACATCTTCTACAACGTAATATACCAATGCGTCAGAGTCTACAGCGGTAAGTAGTTTTACATTATAATGCGCACAGAAATCATTAAATATTCTTTTATTATCGCACAACATGTAAATTTTTTAACGTTTTTTTTTTTATAAATTTCATAAATATACACAATTCAAAAAAAACTGATATAAAATTGATATATAAAAATCAGTGATGCTAATAAGGATAATACAATTGTACGTGGTGGCGTGGTGCGGAGTAGTTTACAAGCACAGAAACGTACGGATTTAAATAATTCTCGTAGAAATAGTGTGCACGGGTAATTGCTATTATTATTTATATTTCTTATTATTTATATATTATATTAAAATTTAATTTTTTTTTTAATTATCATAATTAATTTTGTTTTTATCCTGGCATGTTGTTGGTTATATTTACAAAGTAAGATGACGTTAAAGTTCTGGAAATGTTTCATATGAAATTAAATCGGTAAAAAGTAGAAATTTTAAAGTTAATTTAAACTTTATACTATTATGTGTTGTTTAACAAGTATGTGTCTCCTTCCTGTGGCTATCACATTTGTATATTGTCCGCTTCACTTTGCTTTTTTATTAGACATAAGTTAATCATACTTTGGTGTTAAATTACAGTTAATGTTATGTACTATATTGGAAAGAGTATGTTTTAAGTTAAGTTTAATATTCAAACAATTAGTTGTTATTGTTTAAACCAATTTAAACCAAATAAACAAGTAGTGACTTCATTCTCTTAGTTGGCTACATCCCTTTCATTGTTGCTTATATATTTGAAAACCACATCTCTAAGACAGCGATACAAGAAATTAATAACAAATGTTAAACGAACACATACTATACATGTTTTCCTATTATTGTTCTTGTAACCCGCTGGGACCTACTTGTGAAGTCCGTTTAGGAGGTGTCGAAATTTCGTCTCTGGCTCCGAAGACCTGTTTTCCTAACTTTTTCTGGAGGGATGCACAGCACTTGGTCGTCTATAAAGATGGATAGTTCCCAAACGTAGAACCAGCTGCTCTTAGCACCAAAATGACGCTCTCAATCTTTTTTCTTGCCCTAAAGCATGCATAAATTTGGACCCTATAGAATTTTGGCTCCGTGACAAGATTTCCTCACCTGAACCGAGGTTAAATTAAACACCTCTAACTTTTATCTTTCATCCTTGCTCCTTCTCATCTTCCATTATTTTACCTTCTCCATACCTATCACATTAGGTATTACCTTCCCTATCCTACACATTGTGTAGAGTCTTGTCAAACTTTTTTATTCTTGTGTTTGAGGTTTTGTAATTTTTCTGATATGACTGTACATATAAAAAATTATTGTCAGTATGGGTAAGCAAGCAAAGCTAATTATATGCAACATATAAACAGCAATGCTCATCGACAAGCGCTAAGTACACATTCAAAGTTTTACTCAAACTTAAATATACTAAAACTGCTGTAAATAGTTGACTCAATACCACACAAATATTCACTACAAAATCTATATTAAGGTTTAACTCTATGTGTTATCGTCAGAGACCAATTTGAAAATTCGACTCAGTTTAACCTAACCCAACGTTTCTTCACCTTAAGTTCCAAAAATATAGGTAATGTCAGTAGCATATATCGATTTCAATTCTTGGAAAGCGATGACCATTTTACAATAGATTTTAATAGAGTCAACTATAAGTAAGTTTTTTTTCACCTCAATTTATACCGAACTTCTTGAAATATAGAGGTTTGAAGATGCAAGCTTTTATATTGATTAAACTAGTACAATTTACAAACACACGATTTATACATTGATTACACAAACAACATAAAAGTTGGAACATATATATTAGTTGGTAGTTTCTATGTAAAAATTTCCAACTTTAAAACCCATTATCTCAAAAGTGGGCTTTCGCATAATATGGTGAGTAAGTGAAACATTAGTTTCACTAAGGAATTGTTACTGTAGCAAGTACATGGGACGTGATATGGAGAGTGCTAAATGTTGTACATTTGTTGTACTGATGTATTGTTGTTATTATAGTAATCCGTTTTTTTTATCAAGTCTCTATAAAGTGAAGAACCGCATATAGACGCCTGCGTTAATGTGTAGCTCAACATGGCTGTTTGCAACTTATGATATAGTTAACTTTATGGTGACAATACTTTGCGTTAACAATGTTTTCCATTGGTAATACTTTGCGTTGACGGTACTTTACGTTGACAATACACTGCATTGACAATATTGTGCGTTGACAATATTGTGCGTTGATAATATTGTGCGTTGACAATATTGTGCGTTGACAATATTGTGCGTTGATAATACTATGCAATGACAATGCTGTGCGTCAACAAAATTTTGCGTTAAGAATATTTTACGTTAACAATACTTTGCGTCGACAATATTGTGCGTTGACATTACTATGCGTTGACAATATTGTGTCTTAATAATATTTTACTGACAGTGCTTTATGTTGACGATACTCTACGTTGACAATACTGAGCGCTGACAATACTTTGCGTTAAGATTGTACTTAAGCTTGAGTATCTCTAGTGCTAATTGGTTAACGGTTCTTGGTCGTCAGTGTTTATAAGTGGGGTAACTAAGTAGATCCTGTTTCACCTGTTTTTAACTAATAGAAAAATTGATTTTAGCTGTACAATAATTAATAAAATATTGGCGTTGTATTCGCAGCTCAGATTTAGTAGCTTTATTGTTATTGAGGCTGTATGTGCCTTGAGTAAAATAATTGGCAATTGTTGGTGTTTAGATCGAAGTTCATATTTAATAGCTGATTTTAATTGGATTCTTTATTGCCCTTGAATATAATTTTATTTAATTTTATCAATGAAAGATAAGCTATTTATAATTTATACCAAAATCTTGTAGTCGCTGCAGGTATATCTAATACACCAACAATTATATTGTATGAAAATATTATTTCAATAATTAAAAAATTTTGTGACTTAAAATATTGGAAAGATTTCAAAATTAAATATTTAATTAATTGCCTTATTTTTATAATTTCTCGCTTCAGTAAATACATGAATGTTATTAAATTTAATTGGTGTTTAACCCTTTAGTGTTGCATAAAATTTTGTGCTGGCTGCTTTGTGCTGTTATACTTAAATCAACAATGGTTCTTAATAATTTAATTATTTTTTTATTTGTTAATTTTTTTTATAATTAAATGCTGTTTTATTTATAAATTTTGTTGTTTTGTTTTTAATGTTTTAATATATAATAAGTTTATATTATGGAATTATAATAGATTTTTAAGTAAAAGTTTGTTCAGGTTAATTTTAAATCATTTTTAAAATTATTTTCATAGTACAGATAATTTTTCAGAAATTTCATTAAAAAAATACTTATTTTTTATAATATTTGCTTAGTCCTATATACAGTGAAAACTCTGTTAGTAGAGTATCGTAAAAAACGAAGACCTGTCTTAATCGAGTAATGTTGCTCATATCTAGTTTTCATTTTTTATATAAGGTATGACCTTTATATATAGTGTGTAGTCTTATATACAGTGAAAACTCTGTTAGAAGAGTATCATAAAAAACGAAGACCTGTCTTAATCGAGTAATGTTGCTCATATCTAGTTTTCATTTTTTATATAAGTATGACCTTTATATATAGTGTGTAGTCTTATATACAGTGAAAACTCTGTTAGAAGAGTATCATAAAAAACGAAGACCTGTCTTAATCGAGTAATGTTGCTCATATCTAGTTTTCATTTTTTATATAAGGTATAACCTTTATATATAGTGTGTAGTCTTATATACAGTGAAAACTCTGTTAGTAGAGTATCGTAAAAAACGAAGACCTGTCTTCATCGAGCAATGTTGCTCGTATCCACATTTTATTTTTTATATAAGACACGACCTTTAAAACGAATAATTCTTTCAATTAGATATAATCAGTGTTTCCACTTAAAGGAGCTTTCACTGCACTTAAATATTCGTATTTAATTCGATTTTAAAATCTGATTTTTTAATTCCAATGATGAAAACTTACTATTAAGCTTTTTCTTTGTTGTTTTAATATTTTATTTTATATTTGATTATTAAAATTATTTATAAATTTTTTTTATTTATTTATTTAATATACAAAATAGACTCGAAGCACCCGATGTCACAGGCAGTAGTTTAACACTTGGTACTGCTGGTTCCAGAAGGACAGTCTATTTAATTGATGAAAATCAAAAAATTCCTGATTCGAATAGTCAAGCACAAGTATCACCAACAAATAGTAATACATCATCAACAACACTAGGTGCGAATACAGCTGAACCACAAACACCCACAAATATACATACACAAAACAACGATAATCCTTCCACATTTCTAATGTATAATCGTATTAACACCATGATTGGTAGTAATCCAAGTGATCAACAGAACCAAGTTCAAGGCAATACAACACGCGAGAGTACACCAACCAATAGCACAATTAATCCGGATGATAAATTGCTGCGTAAGCGCACAGACGATAAGAATAATAGTATTTGGTATGAATATGGTTGCGTTTAAATTAATTTAACACAAACCAACATTCTAGTAATTGGTTTTAGTAAAAGTATTATAATATACACTTTTGGATAACTTTTCATCCATCCATCCACTAAGGGTTTGACGTTATAACTAAACATATAATTTACAAGATAAAAGTATTATTACAAAACATTATTTTAACGAATTTATGCATATATCATATAGTATATTTATTTACATCATATAATATTTATAGGAATAACGTCAACATCCATTAACTAACAGTTGCCTTAATTTTTAACTCAAATAATCCTTAATAGATTTGCCTTAAAGTGCAGTGAAATTGCTTTGCATTTAGTTTTTATGATATAAGCGCATTTACTCAGATATATAAATATATAGTTTATAATTCAAGATGCATTTCGAAACCATTTTCGTCAGTATGGCCGGTACCAAGTATGTAATGTTATATATAAGTAGAATCAATTGCTTTATAGACCATATGCAACTATTTCCAAGAAAGTTTCAAATATTCCATGAAATAATATAATAATATTAATCAAACTTTACTTCTATTTATCAGTAAAATATTGTTTTGAATGTTATTTATAAGAGAGTACGTATAGATTGTGTGATTTAGAGAGGTTGTAGTGTAAGTGATTGGTGACTTTTTAACGACTTTTTGATGACTTTTTTTTATTTATGTACTATAAAAAACAAATACGCTGAGACAAGGGTCTCGGTACTAAATAAACTTTGTGAATGGAAGGGAACTTTACCCTACAAAGATTCGCGCAGCATTTATTAAAATTTAAGATATTAACTTAAGATGTTCTCATATTCCAAAGTATAAATAAAACGTACTCTACTTTCTCTGAGGGGAATATAAAGGATATTGATTTTAAATGAAATTTTCGAAAAAGTGATTTAAATAGAATTTAAAGTTTATTAGCTTAATTTTAACTTCACCTTTATTTGAATCTATTCCTTAAAGGAATTAACTTAGTCCACATCCAGAGATAATCTGTTCTTCAAAAAGCTTTAACTTGTAAATGATTGATTTTTGTTTAAAAATATTCCTTAAATTTGATTTTAACATGAATACGACAGAACTGACTATTTTTACTTTAATAAAAACTATGGTATTTAAATAGAGAGGTGTTCACTGACGATGGGTATTTAGCAATACTCGAAACAGCTGTATGGTCAGCCAAAAATTCAATTATTTAAAACTTCTATAGATATCAACTTAATGTGTATTCAGATATGATTTACTTTTAAAATATTAAAATTAAATTTAACAATTAAAAATAACTATAATTTTTATTATGTTTATATATTATATATGATTTTGTTCTAATATAACACAGCAAATATATGTATTAATGAACTTTCACAGCAAATTAACAAAACTCCAAGTTCTAACATACAAGTCAAGTAACGATAAGGCTTTGAGTCAGTTGCTCAATGAACGCTGACTCTGAGCTTCAAATTTGGCAGGGTACGAGTTGAACCCTTGATACTTATAGTCGCAAAAGATTATGTATTAATAATTAAAAACAAGAAATAATTCCAAGAATACTGATGATTAGTATTTGGCAATACTCGAAACAGATGTATGGCTACCCAAAAACTCAATTAATTAAAAATAATAAAATTTTATTATTGTAATTTACTACTGTTCGAAACCTCTCTATTAAACATAATAGTTTCTATTAAGTAAAATAGTCACTTTCGTCATAACTGACGTTAAAATCAAATTTAATATTAATTGTTTGTTTGAATATAAACAAAAATCAGTTTCTCTTAATAGAGATTTTTGGAATTTAAATAAAATTTTAGATTATTTAATTCAAAGAAGGTAGGGTTTATTCAATAATAGGTATTTATATTAATTTTGAAAAAAAATCAATTCAGTCTTAACTCTTAAAGGATTGATTTTTGTGTAAATATATACATTAAAGATATCAGGTTTATCTTAATCCAGATACTATTTGGTTTTTAAGAGAAAAATTTTTATTCCCAAAAATCAAAATATTTAATTCTTTTAATTAATTAATTATGTTGAAGCTATTTGAGCCAGTGCACTTGAGCACTTTTACTCTCTATTAACTCGATGTATATTCAAAACCCCTCTTTATGCCTTGACTGGATTATTGTTGATCACTTTATCAGACTAAGAAATAATTGACCTAGCCGAGGAGCCTGTAACCATTCTCAGTTTGTTTTAGATACTATATTAATTTAAAACAATTTTTTCGAATCAATCCTCTTGAAATAAAAATTTTTTTATTTTTTTAATACCTTGTTTAAATTTAGACTTATCGAACTTTTCAACGTTTTATTATAACGCTATTATAAGCTAGAGAGTTCCTAGTTATTATAAATTTTTAATCCACGAAATATTTCTTCTAATTAAATAGAAAAATAATTGACACATACCAAAGCAATAGTAAATAATTTATATATATAATTTTATGGTAATATAATTTTTATCACAAAAAAATATAGCAGTCATATTGATTTGTGATTTTCCTTGAAATAAATACAAATTCTTTATTTCAATAATTTTTTTCTTTCCCTATCAGTTATTTTTTCCGTCCCTATCAATTATTTTTATAATGACTTACTATATATCACCTATGATCTCAAATCTCATAATTTAAACGTACAATTGTAAATGATGCAAAATATAATACAACCTCATAAATTTAAATGGGTTTATAATAATACTAATATAATAACTTGAATTTTAAGAGTAATTTATAATAATTATTTCTTACATTTATCTGAAATAGTTGCTTTAGGTTGTAAAGTGAAGTAGTAAAGTAACATTACATAAATATAAAATATTAAATTATATAAAAACTTATAAACCTTCTATGTATACTAAAACAATTCAAATGTTTCATTTTTAAAAAATTGTAATATATATTTATTTATAAATTATGCTTGGTATTAAATATATATAATAGAATCGAACACTATATAGCATTATATTGATAAATATACCATTTACTAATTTTAGTACCTTAATTAATACAATTTCAACGGCTTATTTATAACAATTTTTTTTTATATTACATTAACAAGCATATATAAGTTCAAATTTTCATCAGCTCTATATTAATTTAATTTATAATTCGTTTGAATAAACTTGTGACAGTGTACTTATATCTCAGAGTAATTAGTTCTAAATTTTTATCAATTCTGTTTACATAAGTCTTTTATTAGAAATATTCTAAAATGCTCAAAATAAAAATTTGAAACTATAGTACAAGTATAGTCGGTGTATAATTAGCTGCGGGGCATATGCCGTATTTAAAGGAAATTGCTCTCTAAGTTTAGTTACTTAAGCATATATCATTGACTTAAAACCTAAGCAATATAATTGTAAAATAACAAAATAATTATAAACTTAAATCATAACTTTTGTTGCACAAAATCTCGTAATTATAACAGTTTTGTTTATATAAATATTATTTATAAATTAATTTTGTGTTGAAGTAAATATTGTATTTTTTTATAATTTTTAAATTTAGAAAATTTTTATTTTTATACATAATATAAAATTTAAACGTTCGATTCAAACTGTGCTTTTTTGTATAGACTTAATATAACATTTCAAAATGAAGAAATAAAGAAACTTGCTTGCATTTACTTTTAAATTTTATTTGTTATTTACTAAAATTAAATTTTACATTTAAACAATTAAAACATACGCCTTATTTTATAAACATATAATTAAAAAAGTTAATACAATAACATTAAATATAACTAATTATTATTTGTTTAAAAATGCGTTTCAACTTATTGTGTATCTAAAGGGTTAATGTTGTTTCATTGATATTACTTAGAATTAATTTTATTTTTAGACTTTAGTTTCCCTAAACGCGTGCGTCCGTATTTTCAAAAACATTTAAGTCATTAATTTATTTAATATTTTCGTTAATTATTATATTTTTTCAAAGACAACAAATTTTACGTACAAAAATTACGTCGGTATTTTTATTCCCAAATGCACTTAGGTAAGTTATGGCTTTTTGTCGTTTGGTTTTCCGTCTTGTAATTATTAATGTGTCATGAAGATATAGATATATGATATAAAGGAATTTCTATAAACGTAAATGAAAATTTTGTCCATTTACTACAGTCTGTCTGCCTGGTTCACAGTAGTTCGGCAGTGGTGAGTAGACAAACTAGAAAAAAAGTTATAGAAACGATTAAAGCATTAATAAGATATAATTAATTATAATGGTATTAAGAATAAGAAAGATAACAAGATACACATACATATAAATTCAATTACCATATTTTTTTATTAAAGATATCTGATTACAAAATAAATAATCTATTTTTTATTTTTGTAATCTATTTAAATGAAATAATCTTTATAGGGGACAAAAGGTTCAATTCAATTAGAGGTTATTAATAATTTAATATGATACATTTAATAATAATAATAATAAAAATAAGAAAGAAAAGAGATAAACATACATACAAAATTCAAATAACCATATGTTTAGTAAAGGTATATGGTTTCAATACATTAGGTTAGTTTACACCTGCAATCCCAAGAGATCCATTTAGACTTGATTGTGTTACCGTATAATTGAAAACCCGAGGGTTAGAACCTTTGACAAAGCTTATAAAACTATTCATAGGGAGGTCATGTAGTAAATATTTAATATACTCAACAAAGTAGATGGGTGGGTCTTTCATCACCCTCACCACAATCACGGCAGGTATGGTTGAAAATGGTTTCAATATAAATAGACTACATTTTGTAAGCTGTTGTAAACTATTTAAATGATACAATCTCTATAGAGGAAAAAAAGTACAAATAGAGACGACGGTAAATTGATTAATATAATTAATATTAATAATAATAATAATAACAAGAAGAAGAAAGAAAAAGATATATACATAATTATAAATTCAAATAATCATATGTTTAGTTTAATATAGATTGTATATGGTTACAATCTAAATGTGGTCGCTATCAGGGAAGCTATAGCTTGTTTGAATGTAGATGATATATTTGGCAGGAATATATACATACTATCAGACAGTCAAGCT